AATTAAATATTCACCTCAGATCAATCAATGTTTTCTGTTATGTTTATCCATGATGTTTGGGTAATGAAGTAATATCTGCTCAGCTGTCTGAAACTACTTGAAAGCAAGGCTGCATTTCTCAAAATATGTTTCCACAAGGTGTGGGAACCTAAACAGATTCAGACCATTGGCAGCGAGAAAGGATCAATTGGGATTATGATAAAAATTATAAAAATGTAATATGGGGAAGTTAATGATTGCTAGGCTATGGCAGGATGTTAGGAATGTTCAAAGACCCTGATTTTAGTGAGGGTCATCATTAATTCGTCCGGCACAAATCTGTGTGAATCTCTGCCAAAAGTGCCAAAAAAAACCCCACCTGTGCACCTTGACATTAGATGGGAACACAATTTGTGGCAAAATGTCTCAGGCTGGTCCTGGTGACTTATTATCAACCTGCTATGAAAAATGATGAAAAATCATAATTCAATATGGGGGGGAAATTGTAGAAGGGAATTTGTGCCACAGTGATTCAAATATCTTGGCATGAGGTTATAATTCTAAAATAGAATTAGCTTTCCAGGGGCAAGTAGACACCATGTACCTTCCCCATTACCCAGTTCATTGGATGGTTAATTATAATAACCTAAGGTTACCAGTATAGTAAAAGCCATGGTTTTCCCAGTAGTGATGTATGGAAGTGAGAGCTGGACCATAAAGAAGGCTGATCGCCAAAGAATTGATGCTTTTGAATTATGGTGCTGGAGGAGACTCTTGAGAGTCCAATGGACTGCAAGAAGATCAAACCTCTCCATTCTGAATGAAATCAGCCCTGAGTGCTCACTGGAAGGACAGATCGTGAAGCTGAGGCTCCAATACTTTGGCCACCTCATGAGAAGAGAAGACTCTCTGGAAAAGACCCTGATGTTGGGAAAGATTGAGGGCACAAGAAGAAGGGGATGACAGAGGACAAGATGGTTAGACAGCGTTCTCGAAGCTACAAACATGAGTCTGACCAAACTGCGGGAGGCAGTGGAAGATAGGAGTGCCTGGCGTGCTCTGGTCCATGGGGTCGCAAAGAGTCGGACATGACTAAACGACAACAACAAAGGTTACCAGGTTTTTATCAATGAATCCAGGGACAATTTTCAACTTCAGTAGGAATGATAGGATTTTGGCAGGGGACTCATTTGTAAATCCAAGGACTGCCCCTGGGAAACGGGGACGTCTGGTAACCTTATAATTACCTATGTGCTAGAAAGACTATAGATCACGACACAAAGTGCTATAGATCATGACTCAAATAAGCATCTGCTTCCAGGTAGATGCTTATTGTAGAATGGAGGGTTCTCACGCAACAAGTTTTTCAGAGGGTGTACATGATTGGCATCAAAATGCCAGCCTGTATTTGCCCTCACCCCATGAAATATGGAATTACTTATTCTGGGGGAAATCCAATAAATTAGCAAAAAACCACCCCGCCCCTGTTGCCAATGAACCATCTGTGATATTTGAATTCTTATTCTTATTCTTATTATCATTTGTTAAATTTGTATTCAATCTGAAGATCACAGGGCAGTTCACAACATGAAACTAGAAAACGAGAACACAAGATACACAATAAAACAAAAACAAACAAACCAATTATCTCCCTCTTCCCACAAACACATTTAAAAGGAGGTAGGATGTTAATCAGCCCAAGGCCTGGTTGAAGAGGAGCTTTTTTCCCCCTGCGCCCGAAAGATGTATAATGAAGGTGCCAGATAAGCTTCCCTGGGGACAGCATTCCACTCCACAGAAAAAGCCCCTTCTCATGTTGCCACCCTCCCGGCCTCTGGTCGAGGAGGCAGACAAAGAAGGGCCTCAGGTGGCGATCGCAGGGTCTGGGTCAGATCATATTACCTGTTTATGACAATAAGCATATCTGGAAGCACTTGGAGTTCACTCCCGGATTAAATTCATTACCATGGTCCGGTTTTGGGAGACCCTTAGTGCCCCCTGCCCCCATGCCTTTCCTCCTTGCTCATTCAGTGGCTCCCTGCCAGGGTGCCCAGCGGGAGAGGCCAAGCAGAGGCGGCGGCTTCCGGTCTGCCCTTCTACTTGCTCAGGTGCAAGCCCATGCAGCCAGGTACACTTCCTCTGAGCCTCGAAGGGCTAAGCTGGCTGCGGGGTGGGTGTGGGTGCTTTTTTGTTTGAGTTTATAACTTTATTCTAACAAGACTGCTGCCCTGAGCCTCAAGCAAGCTCTCTGGGCAGTGTAATGCTTGGTCCTGGTCCTGCTGTGCTACCCAAAGGGAGTGTCTGGAATGCCTCCAGCTGCCTGAATGCTCTCCAGTGCCCTGGAGAGGACCAGTCTAGGCCCACTTTCCAACTCTGGGAGAGAGGGGAGGCAGCAGCCACCGTCCCTTGCATCTCTTGGTGGTGCAGAAATTGGCACTGGGTGCACTAGGCCCTGTTGCCTCTGCCTCGCCACCCAGAGGGAGAAGAGAACAGAGGCAGCGGCTGTTCTTTGCAACTGCCTCTCCCATTTGCTTGTCTGAATAGGAGACCAAGGAGCAGCGGACTATGGGGAGTAGCTGCTATCATCTCTGCCCTCTCTCTGGGCAGCGCAGTGATGGGGGTTTGGCTTTAATTATTATTATTATTATAAATTTTATTTATACCCCGCCCTCCCCGGCCAGAGCCAGGCTCAGGGCGGCTAACACCAGTAAACTTACAGTAAAAACATAATAGGGGAAAAAACCCACCAATTTAAAATACAGGTTTAACAGGCCCAATCTTCCTCTCCTTACCACCTCGAAGGGTAGAGTGGAGACAGCTGCTTTTTGCAGTTATGGACACTGGGGCTGAAGAAGAAGAAGAAGAAGAGTTTGGATTTGATATCCCATTTTATCACTACCCTAGGGAGTCTCAAAGCAGCTAACAATCTCCTTTCCCTTCCTCCCCCACAACAAACACTCTGTGAGGTGAATGGGGCTGAGAGACTTCAGAGAAGTGTGACTAGCCCAAGGTCACCCAGCAGCTGCATGTGGAGGAGCGGGGAAGCGAACCCAGTTCCCCAGATTACGAGACTACCGCTCTTAACCACTACACCACACTGGCTCTCTCCCAAGCGATGGCCAACCATAGGACCACAGGAAGCTGCCTTGCACTTTGTCCACCCATCTCTGTATTACCAAACACTGACTAGAAGTGGCTCTCCAGAGCTTCAGGAAGAGGAAGCTAGGGATGTAGACTGGGACCTTGCACATTCAAGGCAGGCGCTCTCCTCATGGACTCTTCCCCATCATAAAGGTAAAGGGACCCCTGACCGTTAGGTCCAATTGCAGACGACTCTGGGGTTGCGGTGCTCATCTCGCTTTATTGGTCGAGGGAGCCGGTGTACAGGTCATGTGGCCAGCATGTACAGGTCATATCGTGTACAGGTCATATCGTGGCCAGCATGACTAAGCCGCTTCTGGTGAACCGTGCATGGAAACGCCGTTTACCTTCCTGCCGGAGCGGTACCTATTTATCTACTTGCACTTCGTGCTTTCAAACTGCTAGGTTGGCAGGAGCTGGGACCGAGCAATGGGAGCTCACCCCGTCACGGGGATTCGAACCGCCAACCTTCTGATTGGCAAGCCCTAGGCTCTGTGGCTTAGACCACAGCGCCACTCGCATTCCCCATCATAGAATCATATCACTGTAGAGTTGGATGGGATCCCAAGGGTCGTCTAGCCCAACTCCCTGCAATGCAGGAATCACAGCTTCTTCACCCAAATGAAAAATGCTAAGAGGAACTTTTTGCTTCCGGAGGCAATAATAATAATTTTTTCTTTATACCCCGCCCTCACCAGCCAAGACCGGGCTCAGGGCAGCTAACAACCAATAATAAAAACAATCATAGCCGCTTCTTGCCACTGTCGTGCGGGGGCACCTAAGGCACAGCCACCTCGGGTCGCCTGCTGGCTCTCTCCCTCCAGGTGGGTCCAGTTCCCTTTGCTAACCTGCTTTGGGGGCTGCGGGCGGGGAAGAGGGGGGGCTGCTTCCAGAAGCTCCTGAAAAACCTCCCCGGGGCTTCTCCCGCCTGACAGTGGCGGCGGCTGCTCCTCCGTGACGCCCAGTTAGGGGGCAGCGCCCCCGGGGCGCCCTCCGCGGCCATCCAAGTGGTGCCAACCTGGGAGCGGGCTCCGCTGCTCGCCGCAGCTGACGCACGAATGTGGCCCGCACTACTATCAGGGAATCCCTTCTCGGATTGGATGGGATTCCAGGGGATGAGCGCCGATTGGGCCTCGCCCGCTGCCCACGCAGCCGAATGAAGTGGTCGAGCGCCGAGGGCCCGCAAAGGGCCGCGCCATTGCTGACCACGATATTTGCACAGGTCGCCTTGGACCACAGGACCATCCTTGGACCTTTCTCCTGCTTTTTCAAACCACCCTGCAAATAGGGGGTCGCCCGGCGACCAGATTTTCTCTGTTGTTGTTGTTATTATTATTAAGTGGGAGTTTCTTATTTTAAAAGCGTGCGGCCATTGCAATGCGCCCCCCACCCCCGTCTCCAGAAGTGGTTCGGCCTCATTACGCGCCCCCCCCCCCCGCGATTCTCTGCCAGCCGCTTCATTCCGCTTCCACGCGCCTCGGATAGAAGGTGACGCGCGCCGCTACCTTCTGCCGCCTCCCTCACCATTTATGGGGAAAAGCAGCAGGAGGAGACCGGAGGCGCCCAAAATAAAACTGTAACGGCATTCGGCACTCCGCCTCCCCGGTGGGATCCCGGGAGCACGGGCGGCCGGGCAAAGGACGAGCCGAGGGAGAAAGTCTGCCTTTCAGCCCCGGCTGACTGACAGCGGGTTCAAAGCGCAGCCGCCGCTCCGGCTTTCTCTGCCCCCCCGCCAGCCTAGTTGGCTCCACCCTCCCGACAACTCCCCCCCCCCCTGTTTCTTGCTTCTTTTTTCGGAGTCCGGGGTTCAGCCCCTCCACTTGCAGCGCAATGAGCTGTACCAAAGAAGAGGGGAGGGGGCGCGTGTGAGGGGAGGAGCCTCCCGAGTGGGAAGGGGCGGCGGGAGCAGCTGAGCCCAGACCGCCTTCGCCTTGCATCAGCCGGCTTTGGGGGGGAGAGGCGAGGAGCGGAGCCGGGCGCCGCTGCCCACCTTGCCTGCGCCTCACAGCTGCTGCAGCCGGCGAGCGCCTTGCCTGCCTGCCTGCCTGCCGCGCGTAAAAGACCCTGTGAGGGCGCGCGTGGCGAGGGGAGGCTGTCGCTCCGGCCGGGAAGGACCAGCAGCGCTGAGGAAAAGCTCCCCGGGCAGCGTCCCTCGTCGCCCGCCGACGTCTCGGCGCGCCGGACCAGCATGGAGAAGCCCGACGAGAGCCGGAATGGCTACCTGGAGGCGACGGTGGTGTCGGGCTTGGAGGCCGGGGAGGAAGGGGCGCGCCGGCCCCGCCTGAAGCTCTTCCAGCTGCGGGGCTTGGGGGGCTTCCTGAGGAGGAACTGCATGGTGATCCTGACGGTGTCCGGGGTGCTGCTCGGCGTGGCCATGGGCACCCTGGTGCGGCGCCTGCACCTCAGCCCGGCGCACGTCGCCTACCTGGCCTTCCCGGGGGAGATGCTGCTCCGCATGCTCAAGATGATCATCCTGCCGCTGGTGGTCTGCAGCCTGGTCTCGGGCGCCGCCAGCCTCGACACCCGCTCGCTGGGCAAGCTGGGCGGCATCGCCGTCGCCTATTTCCTGATCACCACCCTGCTGGCCGCAGCCCTCGCCGTCGCCCTGGCCTTCATCATCAAACCCGGCCTGGGCGCCGGCAGCCTCAACAAAAACTCCCTGGGCTTGGATGACACCGCGCACACCGGCAAGGACACGGTGGACTCTTTCCTGGACTTGGCGAGGTAAGGAGCAAACTCGGGAATGCCACGTGTGTTGTCTTCCTGGCTCGTAGTCTCCCATTGTGGGAGAGTAGCATCTATGCGGGGTTTCCTTTTTAAAAAAGCCCTTTGCTAACCTAGTGTGCTTTCTGCCAGACTCCGTGGAACTCCAGACGTGACTGACATTTCGAGATTAGAACCCTGGACATTCCTGCCGGTTAAAAAAATTAAGTGGCACACGCACTCTAGGCTTCTGTCCTCAAGCCTTCCTCTCTGGGCAGTTTGTTAATAGTTAGAAACCTTGGTCTTCATAAAAGGTACTTGGAGCTAGGGAACTAGTGTGTTGCTATGAGTGCCAGTTATTGAGATTAAGAGAATTAAATAAGGATTTGAGAGCTTGGCCATTGCATAGGTGCTTGTACTTCAGCTTTTTATTGCACACGGGTGCATGGTCAGCGCAATCTAAAGGCCAAAATGGGCAGGACTGAGCAGGCTTAAGCCAGGCACCCCCAAACTCGGCCCTCCAGCTGTTTTGGGACTGCAGCTCCCATCGTCCCTAGCTAAGAGGACCAGTGGTCAGGGATGGTGGGAGTTGTAGTCCCAAAACAGCTGGAGGGCCGAGTTTGGGGGTGCCTGATTAAGCTCTTTGTGCTTTCAAGCGTTTCATGGTCCAATAAACTTTGGCAAAAATTCATGTTGGTTTACAGAAGAGAATTGCTAAAGAAGCATTCATTTTAATGGTAACTCCAGAGCGGAGGCAGCATTTCTCTGTTGAAGCAAAAATAACAATGTCTTGTGACACATTAAAGTTTAAGTTGAACACTAACAGATTTTTGTGTGGCATGAACTGTTAATGGATCAGAGTCTGCTTCCACTCATGAAGCATATCCTGGGTTGGGAGAGAGAGAAAGAGAGAGAGAGAGAGTGTGTGTTATAATAACCAGGGATCGGATAGGGCTTGTTCAAGTTATTGTTTATATCTGAATGGCCAACATCTGGTTTTGGAAACATCGTGTGCTTTTTTATCTGTATTATTATCTGTATTATTTTAATGCTTCTGACTTGTGATTCTCATTATACGTCTCATAATTTATCTCCTTTGTTGTGGTCAGATTATATCTTGTGGAGGTTTAAGCTTTTGGCACCTGTTCCCTCTGGAAGAGTGGAAGATCTATTAACATGGTCCACTGAAGTCTTTGGAGAGTTTTTCCAGATAAGAGTGGCAGATGCTCCTTTTGAAGCCCTAGTTCCTCTCTGGATTGGAGAGACTCTATGCATCCTCTTCCACTGAGCAGATCCAAGGCTTGGTTTGTACCTGAGCTGAGGGCTATGATGCTAGTCAAAGATGGCTGAAAAGCAAGTGGAGCAAAACGCATGATGAATTGGGTTGAACCCAAGTGACAGCCTATTATCAGGCCCTACTCATGGTAGTGACAGAAGCAAATAAACTATTATCCGCCCCAATAGTTTTCTCAGTGTCATCAAAAGGAGCTTTCTCTGGTGTTGTGGGACCTTTTGCAATTGGGGCAGGGTGGGGGAATTTCATAGAAGTCTGGGTAGCAATGCAGTAATGCATTTGCAAGACACTGTGAAGGTCTTGCATATCTATCAGGTATCCTGTCATTTATTGTGAAAAATTATATTTTGATGCATCCCTCCCCCCGAAACCAGCTTGATGTGACCTGAGAAATAGAATGACATAGCTGTGTTTTAAGCTGGTAATGTGTACGCAGCCGTGGATGGAACAGATTGTGTGGTAATGGAAATGAATGAAGGTCTCACAACACAATCCTAAAAGCATGTCAACTCAGAAGTTTATTCACCTTTCTCTCTTTTTCTCTTTTTCTCTCTCCCCTCCCCTTCTTTTTTCTTTCTTTTCCTCTGGATCTATATTTTTATTTTATCTAGATTAATGTTTTAGTCTGGACAAAAAAAAACACGTTAATAACTTTTGTAACTCTTTTTATGAAATCTAATAAAATGTATTCAGACAAAAGAGAAGTTTATTCATCTCCATTCAATGCATATTGAATTTTGTTAGTTGATGCAAACCCACGCATTACCCATGTGGTAGCGGTTTTTGTGATGAAGGCCATGAAAGCCAGGGAAAGATTTATGGACGACAATGTAAAGACCCCTTCATCGTCTGTTTAACTCGTTGCTCGTTTTCCCTCCTTTTTTATTTTGTGGGAAGAAGGTTTTGTTGGCATAGTATGTAATGAATTTTAATATTTTTAACTATTGTAGTGTTGATGTTTGTGCACAGGCATGGTCCTCACAATAAACGGATTTTGATTTGATTTGAATATCCAAGCCCTGATTCCGACCATTCACAGACTTGCTTGCATCGGATGGAGAAGAGACAACATTGGGGGAGGGGGCATTGTATGCTCATGACGTCACACATGTGCCGCCCCCCCCCCAACCTGGCCAGGCCAATACGGCCCCCGTCAGCTGTCTCGCCTTTTGTTCGCCACTGCAGGGCTGAGGCCACCTCCGCAGGTTACCTTTTGTGAAAGGGACCTTTTGAGGATCGCCACGGAATTTGGGGTGGGACCATCCTTGAAAATATGGGGGGATGGAACCCCTGCCCCCAGATGGCACCCCTGGAAATAATTGATCTGTGTAGGATCCAAGGGGATGAGCAACAGTGTATCTGCCTTCTCCCAGGTAACAGGTTAGGATTTCAGTCTCAGTCCTGACAAGACAGATCTACTATTGGTGGTTGGTTGGCCTTCTGGGTGAGTGATACTCATCCTGTTCTGGAAGTGGTGGTACTCTTCCCCTAAAAGATCACATCTGCAGTTTGGGAATCCCGCATTGTCCTTAAGCACTCAAAGCATATTTTATCAGCTTGAGTTGGGCGCCAGCTGCGACCATATCTGGCTTAAGATAGTGTAGTCACAGTTAACCTAACCGAACCTTCAACTTAGGTTGCTAACAGACTATTGCTATTTTATTTGGGACGGTGCTGGATTAAACCCTCTGGAGGTCCCTAGGGAGTTGAAATCTCATGTGCACTCTCTAGTGGGATAACATTGAACTAAGAAAGCTTGGTTGTAATTTTCTTTCAAGATAAAATGAATATCGTTGTGATCTGCTGTCACAGGGGTACTAAACAGCGTGGGGCCCACAGGCCAGTGCCTACTCTGCTTATTTGGTAATCCAGCACCGATTTGGGGATCCAGTTATATACCAGCAAATTCAGGTTGCACAACTAGAGTTGGTTGGGAGGTCTTATGCAACAAACCCGCTTCCTCAAAATATCAGACTTTTTGAGATAAGGAAAGTTGGGGAAAGTGGGAGATAACACTTCCATTGACATAACATCATCTAACCCTCCCCTCCAATAAATCAGAACAAATGTCTAGAATAAAAAAATAAAAACAGTAATGAACATACTAAAAAGAAGACATAGAAGAAAAGAAAAAAAATACAAAGTTCAAAAAACAAATAGCTAAGAAAATTAAAAGATTCCATTTTTCAATATCTTTAAGTTCATTTGCTTGTTTCCTTGACCTCCTCACACTCCCCTTTTTTGTTCCCCATTGCATAATCAATTCAGCAAATCCTTACCCTCTTTCATTTATCTTAACTCTATCATCTTAACCTATTATAACTATGCATTTTCATCCATTATCAATCCATATTTGCATATTCTTATTAACTTGTTACCAATACCATATTTTCAATCCAACATCATTTTAACATTCAATTAATTTTACAGTATTTCTGCAAGTAGTCTTTAAATTTCTTCCAATCTTCTTCCACCAACTCTTCTCCCTGGTCTCGGATTCTGCCAGTCATTTCTGCCAATTCTATTATTAATAGCCAATGTTTTCTTATGTCCCTGCAAATAAATTTGGAATGAGAATGAGTGTGCTTAAGACTTTTGTAATGTGTTGTACTTGGGGCTGCCTTTGAAAATGGATCAGAAGCAGAGGTGAGGTTGGCTCAACCTAGAGCAGCAAGACTGGGTGGTTTGACCATACTAAGCCTGAACTTTAACAGCTGCATTGGCTACCAGTCAGTTTCTGGGCCTGATTTTAACTGCCAGATTTAACCTGTAAAGCCCTAGAGTGTTTAGGGCCAGGTTGCCTGAAAGGCTACCTCTTGCTTCATATTTCTTGATTTAACATTCCCTATGCTTGATAGCCTGCCTCAACAACCAATTTCTGTCTCTTTGAAGTGCCAAGGTATATTAGCCACATATCCCTATTTTATCACACTTGAGAACAGCATTTTGTATGTGTAAAATTCTGAACTCTACACATTTCTCCAAATAACATGTGGTTACTTGTGCTCGCAATTTGTTCTGTGATAAAATTGAGGCATTAGTTGAATGCTTTGGGGGCTATTTTCCTTTTTGTTTGTTTGCTTAGCCTCAGATTAACTGTTTCTGTGAAAACTTGTTTCAGAATGTGTTGTCATCGCACTCAGAATCTACCTGCTCTGCCTCTTTGGCTGCTGCCTGTGGGGGCAGGAAAACTGCCATTTCTTCACACATTTTTGTTTATGCTGTTGTGAGAGAGAAGAGTTGGTGACGGGCCATTGTTTTCAGCAGCACTCATGCATCTCCTGTGTTACCTAGTTCCTGCCCGACAGCTTTTGATGCTTAACTGTTAACTGGGGCACATTGATTTATAGTGAGATAACCATATCAGACATTGATTTTGCACTTGCTAGGGAGTAAAAACCCTACTGATGCAGTAGCGCCTATGTCTGAATAAACATGTGGAGCAGAGCTTTTCAAACTGTGTCTCGTGACATGTTAGTGTGTTGGCTGCAGTGTGCAGACGTGTCGCACGAACACTCCCCGTGATCCTCCTGGGGCTGGAAAGGGGTTAGTTTAACCTCTGGTTTGCTAGTAAAACTGAATTACTGTGTTGCTAAATGACACATGCCTAAAAAGTGTGTCACCAACATGGAAAGGTTGGAAAACCCTGATGTAGAAGGTTGCATTTCTGCCTGTGCAATCAGGTAAAATCAGCTCAAATGGACTTTTAGCAGTGTCTCCAATTTGTCATTTAGCACCCTACACCCCAGCCAATGTTGTCCATCAAAGTAGAAGGTGTTTCCTTTTTTTTTTTTTAACTTAACATTCCTGGACCACCCTGAGGCCGGATTTAGAAGGCAATTGGGCCAGATCTGGCCCCCAGGCCTTAGTTTGCCTACCCATGAATTATACCCTGCCTTTCCCCCGATGGGGCTCAAGGCAGCTTACAGATAAAAATAAGAACTGTTAAAAACATACAAAAAGAAATAATTGAAAAAGGATTAAACATTGATAGAATTTAAAACTATATACATATATAAAGGTAAAGGGACCCCTGACCATTAGGTCCAGTTGTAACTGACTCTGGGGTTGTGGCGCTCATCTCACTTTAATGGCCGAGAGAGCCGGCGTACAGCTTCCGGGTCATGTGGCCAGCATGACTAAGCCGCTTCTGGCGAACCAGAGCAGTGCACAGAAACACCGTTTACCTTCCCGCCGGAGTGGTACCTATTTATCTACTTGCACTTTGACGTGCTTTCGAACTGCTAGGTTGGCAGGAGCAGGGACTGAACAACGGGAGCTCACCCCGTCACGGGGATTCGAACCGCAGACCTTCTGATCGGCAAGCCCTAGGCTCTGTGGTTTAACCCACAGCGCCACCTGCATCCCTTATATACACATATAAAATCTAGTAAAACCATACCAATAGTTACAATAAAAACAGCACAGCGCCATTTCATTAAAAGCAGCCAGTTCCGAAAAGCAGACAACAGGAAGGGAGTCAGCCTAGCTTTTTCAGGGAGGGAGTTCCAAAATCTTGGAGCAGCCACTAGGAAGGCCCTGTCCTTTTCCCCACCAAGCATGCCTGGGAGGTGATGAGACCGTGAGATGAGCCTCCCGCAAAGATCTGAAAACCCAGGCAAGTTCATATGAAAGTATGTTGCTTTGAGCATTGAAAAGTAACTGATACATTTCTTTTCTTCTTTTAAATCAACTAAGAACAGCACAGATTAGCTTCCTGTGTGTGTCTAGTTAGGCTGCAAAGATGGGGGGCAGCAGTGAATGTACACAAAGCTCCAACGTTTTATGCAGCCAAAGAAGTTTGGGATTAGTTTAAAGAAACTTGTTTGGAATACATCTGAAAAATACAGTCTGGTACATTTTGTAAAGTTTGAAATAGAACAGTACTTCAAACCCTCTGAATTATTCCCCTTCGTTTCTAGTGGAGCAGGGGTAGAAAAGCAACAACAGGAATACTCAGACGCTGGCAGAAGCAGTTTTCTGGGCGGTTGTGTGCATGGCTGCTCATGGCTGTGGGAAAGTTCACTCAGTGTGAGTTGAGTAAAGAACTTGAGAGACCAGGCAGCTTATCTGTGGTTTAGATAATGGCTCTTCCCTTTGTCATACCAATCTCTCTAGTTCACTTTATCTTCATACAATAAGTCCTGCAAGCTTATTGTTTTTCTTTCCACCGCTGTACAGTATATAGACTCCAGTCTCAGATGTATTATGTTGTTATTGTTGTCAACTGAAGCTGTTTGCTCCGTGTGTGCCTCTTTTGGAATATACCCACTCTCCCTTGTGAAGTGTGACCTGAGTTGAATGGGCTGTTGTGGAAGACGTGTGTTCATCTGTACATGCAGAATTGGGCTGGTGGGTTCTAGATTACCAGATCTCATCTCATATGCTATCTTTGAATAACACAGCAAAGTTAAATGTAGCAGTACAGTGGTGCCTCGCAAGACGAAATTAATTCGTTCCATGAGTTTTGTCGTCTTGCGATTTTTTTCGTCTTGCGAAGCACGGTGTCGGGAAAGTTTTGGAAAAGCTTCAAAAATCACCAAAGTCTTCAAAAACCTCAAAAAAGGCTGCCACACCGCGTGCTATGAGTTGCTCCTCGAACTCAAGTCGCAACTGTATTAACGGTGTTAAGAAAAAGGAAACAAACTTGCAAGACGTTTCCATCTTGCGGAGCAAGCCCATAGGGAAAATCGTCTTGCGAAGCAGCTCAAAAAACAAAAAACCCTTTCGTCTTGCGGGTTTTTTGTCTTGCGAGGCATTTGTCTTGTGAGGTACCACTGTAGTAATAATGACACAAAACGCCTAACCTTTTCTAAGACAGGCTGACCATCTAATACAGGCTTCCTCAACCTCGGCCCTCCAGATGTTTTTGGCCTACAACTCCCATGATCCCTAGCTAGCAGGACCAGTGGTCAGGGATGATGGGAATTGTAGTCTCTAAACATCTGGAGGGCCGAGGTTGAGGAAGCCTGATCTAATAAATAAGATACAGATGGGGAAAGGAAGAGGGAAGGAAGTGGAAACCTGCATTCATGTGGCTGCTTCTTTGCTGGCCAACAGATAGAGCCATGTTGCCATGCTGAGCTGGAGCAGAGTGTCTTTCCTTGCAGATTGAGGCAGGACATTATTTGGGGAAGCATTAAGAAAAGTCTGGACTCTGGATTGGCCAAGGGACTAACCTAATGACATCTGTGGGATCCCAGGATGCCAGTTTGATGATGGCTCTTTTTAAAAAGTTGGATGTTCCATATGGTGGGGAAATGTCACATGACAGTTTTGAGAAAATAGTTATTGATTCAATTAGTCCATTCCTATATTCTGCAACGGCAAGTGTGTCTGCTGAGGCCTAATAAGATTGAGGCAAGAAGTGATTATATGGCATTGTACAACATTGATAATGCTGAATTAATTCCCTAATCCTACTATATAGGCATAATGTTGTACTAATGTGAAAAGAAATAATTAAGTTGATAAGCTGTCATTAAATTCTAATCTTTGTTTTTCTTCTCTTTTTCCTTTTTTTTGGTTCCCGCCCACCCAGAAACTTGTTCCCAGCAAATCTTGTTGCTGCAGCCTTTCGATCGGTGAGTTTCATATGCCTTTTCCTTTCTTACTTTGGATTGAGATTTCTGAAGCATGTGACCAAGAAACAGAAAAACAGAAACCCAACTCAATTCCTGAGGGGATCATGTCTTTGATATACTTTCACTGAGACATAATAGTACCTACAATTCTTTACCCTGGAGTATTAAGAAAACAAATTACTACTACTATTATTATTATTATTATTATTATTATTATTATTATTAAAGGTAAAGGTACCCCTGCCCATACAGGCCAGTCTTGACAGACTCTCGGGTTGTGCGCCCATCTCACTTAAGAGGCCGGGGGCCAGCGCTGTCCGGAGACACTTCCGGGTCACGTGGCCAGCGTGACATCGCTGCTCTGGCGAGCCAGAGCCGCACACGGAAACGCCGTTTACCTTCCCGCTAGTAAGCGGTCCCTATTTATCTACTTGCACCCGGGGGTGCTTTCGAACTGCTAGGTTGGCAGGCGCTGGGACCGAGCAACGGGAGCGCACCCCGCCGCGGGGATTCGAACCGCCGACCTTTCGATCGGCAAGTCCTAGGAGCTGAGGCTTTAACCCACAGCGCCACCCGCGTCCCGATGATGATGACGATGATGATGATGATTATTATTATTATTAAATTATTATTATTATTATTAAAATCAAGGCAACTGATCATTTACTTGTTACTGTTTATGTACCAGCTTAAATAGTCACTGAATTTAGCCCATAGTGTGGTTCAACTAACTATAGTAGTTCACTTATCAAGATGAATGAGGGTTGTGGAAATATGTAGACTCAGATTTAAAAGAGGACTGTTTGCACAAATGTTGTGGAGGGCACGATGAATTTGGATCTCTAGCAATTTCAACATGCTGAAGACAGACTAATGGAAGAATTTCAGCACTGAATTCTTCCTTTTTATCTAGCGCATAGCCTCTTGATGAGAAGCTAGCCACTAGCAATGCTACAATGGACATTCTGACATTACCATGATGTATTTCTGTGGCGCTGGCAGAATCTGGCTATTTCAGAATTATTTTTCTCCCTTTTCTTGAACTGGAATATTACCTCACATATACCTGACAGATCTCCCTCATGCAGCAGCTGCTGTCTGAGAACATTACCTCTGATGCCACAAATAATTTAATTTCCACCACTTATCAGAGTCTTTCAAGTCACCAAAACTACAGGTCTTACACAGCCTCCTTAGTTCTGTAACATACAGTGGTACCTCGCAAAACGAATGCCTCGCAAGACGGAAAACTCGCAAGACGAAAGGGTTTTTGGTTTTTTGAGTTGCTTCACAAGACGATTTTCCCAATGGGCTTGCTTCGCAAGACGGAAACGTCTTGCAAGTTTGTTTCCTTTTTCTTAAAACCATTAATACAGTTGCGACTTGACTTCGAGGAGCAACTCATAGCATGCGGTGTGGTAGCCTTTTTTGAGGTTTTTGAAGACTTTGGTAATTTTTGAAGCTTTTCCAAAACTTTTCCGACACCGTGCTTCGCAAGACGAAAAAATCACAAGACGAAAAAACTCGCGGAACGAATTAATTTCGTCTTGCGAGGCACCACTGTACTGATCAGTAGTTTGCTTTTTGAATGCATATTTCTTTCAGAAACATCATCCTTTTTAGGCATACTATATTCTTCAAATTTATCAGTTATTTCTTTTAGTTTCATATTCTCACTCTTAGCAAACACAAAGTTGGCATACATGTTCAGTGTCTGCTCTCCCACTAGGGTTGCCATAGTTTGAAGAGCAAAAAAGAGGACACATTCTCCGACTTTTACTTTTAACTACAGATCACTTTGACAACTCTAATTTTAAATACTCCTACTAAATATAGGCTATAGAGCTGTGATATATACCGCTAGTAGCAATGTTCTTAACTTTTCAACAACAAAATAATAAGAATACATACTGTCACACCTCGAGTTGAATGTGCTTCGGGTTGAGCGCGTTCGAGTTGCGCTCCGTGGCAACCTGGAAGTAACGGAGCATGTTACTTCTGGGTTTCGCCGCTCGTGCATGCGCAGACGCTCAAAATGAAGTCACATGCATGCACGGAAGTGTTGAAATGCGACCCACGCATGCGCAAACATGCCGTTGCGTCTTACTTTCTGTTTGGGATGCAAATGGGGCTCCGGAACGGATCCCGTTCATATCCCGAGGTACCACTGTATTGCTCACTCACTTGCCACATAAAAGTATTTGGGCTCATGTTCACATCTTTGTGAACATAAGTGTGCACAGAACAATTTAGTAAACTGTTTAACATGTACATATGTGCTCTCCCTAAGGGCAGGAGGATGTTAACTCTTACCCTCCCAGACTCCTTCCCCAAGATCTTGTAGCTGAGCCAATATCCTTTTAGCCACACGAGAAGGGATTTATACAGTACGTAGTTAGTCTAAGATGCTGCTCTGTTGTGCTTCTCTGCTGCAGACTAGCTTAGCTGGGCACCTTAGATCTGAGTCTAATGCACTAGAATTTTTTTCTTGGGCTACTGTAAACAAAAAAACCTGGACATTTTGCCAAATTTTAAAAATCTGCCCAGACAGAAATTTTAATCCTGAAAAAGATCACGTGTCCTGGAAAAAGAGGACACATGGCAACCTTACACAACATGTAGAAAAGTTATTTGATCTTATCAGTTTTCTCTTCTTCTCCCATTGCTGCCAGGTAGAATTCAAACCTTTGTCTAAACCTTTTCCAATTTTCTGAAATATCCCTCTCACGACTGCAGGCTTGGTGATAGTTGAAACATATTCATTCCTGTTTATAAGAATTCCTCCAATTTAGCAGCACTTACAGATATTGTTGCTTTCACTGGGTGTGGCTCCCACAATTTCTTATCATTTGTTTCTAGCTGTACATCCAGAAAACTGCTTTCAGTTGATTTAGTTTGCTCCTCATTCTGCATTTCAGATGTCATGTAATTATTCTGGATCAACAGACAAACTAGAGGAATATGTAACGGCTTGAAACAACTTTATTATTCAGAGACTCTAAAACAAACTTGTGCAGCAATTTCTATGCTTTGGAACTGTCTGAATCATGTGACCTTAGGGCAAATCTTCACATTACCAGCTTCTTAATACTGAACACTAATCTCTGAATTATAAACACTGTCATGACAGGTATAGCAAAAGAAGGTTCTTTTCAAAACTGCCCATCTGTGTAGATTCCAGAGTGATATTCAGTAAGGTACCCCTGCCCGTACGGGCCAGTCGTGTCCGACTCTAGGGTTGTGCGCCCATCTCACTTAAGAGGCTGGGGGCCAGCGCTGTCCAGAGACACTTCCGGGTCTCGTGGCCAGCGTGACGAAGCTGCTCTGGCGAGCCAGCACCAGCGCAGCACACGGAAACGCCGTTACCTTCCCGCTATAAAGCGGTACCTATTTATCTACTTGCACTTAGGGGTGCTTTCGAACTGCTAGGTGGGCAGGAGCTGGGACCGAAAGACGGGAGCTCACCCCGCCGCGGGGATTTGAACCGCCGACCATACGATCGGCAAGTCCTAGGCGCTGAGGTTTTACCCACAGCGCCACCCGCGTCCCCAATATTCAGTAACGAACATACCAAAAATACAATACCCAAAAAGCAATAAAACAGCACCACTCATAACATGGAAGTTGTGTTTTTAAAAGCCAGTTCATAACTTTAAAATGTCTAGACTAGAGTTGTAAAGTGCAAGTAAGTTCTCATTGCCTTGAAGCTATGGTTGAAAAAACCACCCCTATTGTTGTCAGTTCATATACCAAAATATTGGGTTGACAATCTGATTGATTAGTTCAGTGTTTCCCAACCTTGTGCCTCCAGCTGTTTTTGAACTACAACTCCCATCATCCCTGACTAGCAAGACCAGTGGCAAGGGATGATGGGAATTGTAGTCCAAAACAGCTGGAGGCACAAGGTTGGGAAACACTGGATTAGTTCATAATTCTAGTGATGCAGATGCCAGCTATTTTCCTTGTGCTCCCACTGCTTCAACAGTTCAATTTCCTGGTCTCCAATTTCTACAGTACTACTCCAGCTTTAATTACGTTCTATGCATGGCCTTGTCATTCCTCGTCCTAAACTCCCAATCAATAGCTTATATTTTTATAGCTCTCCCGCATTCCTTAGACATGCAAAAGGGGTTACTTGGCTGCAGTTTGAGTAACCAAGTTTTATGTAGTTTCAGAACCCTTGCTCCATTAGCAGAAAAAGGTGCTAGTTTGCATGTGGCTCACTTTTTTATTTTGGGCATTTCATGGTGACAAGTCCTGGGAGTAATTCATGCTTCCCTCCTTGGTTTAGCATACATGCATTTAACATTCTGCCTATCACTTTTTTACATTTTTGTCAGCAAATACTAGCTCGATAAACTGTAGTCCTTTCTGTTAGCTAATGAAACAGCGTGGCTTTCATTCATGGATAAATGTGGGGTAGGGAGGCAAGGGTGTGTGTGTGTGCTTGCTCTGCCTCCAAAATCATAAATCCGTTTATTTCTTTTAATGTACACAGACACATGCACACCCAGATAGTCAATAGGAGATTTAGAGTGACCTCTAAGGCCGCTCCTATCGAGAATGGCTGGTGTTTTCTGCACTTTTCCTGGCCAGCAGGCAACTCACAGCTCAGAGGAATGCTGCTTGCTCTGATCTAATGATACTGCTTTGGCGATGTAAACAAAAGATTCATGGTGCCTTTTTGCGATTAGGTGAGGAGGTTTGGGGTGCTGTTGGACCTGACCCTGCTTTTTGAGGGGCAGATGTGGGCAGTGGCCAAGATTAGAAATCAAAAGTGCCAGCCAGGTGCTCCACAAATGACCAGCATCTTTTACTGGGAAACCACGTCAAAGTGCAAGTAGATAAATAGGTACCACTCCGGTGGGAAGGTAAACGGCGTTTCCGTGTGCTGCTCTGGTTTCGCCAGAAGCGGCTTCGTCATGCTGGCCACATGACCCAGAAGCTGTACGCCTGCTCCCTCGGCCAGTAAAGCGAGATGAGCGCTGCAACCCCAGAGTCGGTCACAACAGGACTTAACTGTCAGGGATCCCTTTAGCTTTAAAATAATGTATTGGGAAACAGAAGCTTTGATTGGTTGAAGGTTGAAAGAAAGGCATAAGGGCTTTCTTTTTTTAATAATTTTTTTATTAGGATTTTTACAATATTACAAAATAGACAAAGAAAAAAGAAAAAATACAAATAAAAACAATCAATCTTTTCATCACTTATTTTTCATTTACTTGTTTCCTGGACCTCCTCATACCTCCCTTTTTTGTATTCCAGTTCTATTTATTAGTTCAGCAGTTTCTTTCCCTCTTTATTTTACCCTGATCTTTAATCTTAAATTATTATAACATTAAATTTTACTTATAAAAAACCGTTTTTTCCTATTCTTTTGTACCATTACAGCTAGAAACCACTTAATTTCAGTCCAACATCATTCTAGCATTCATTAATTTCGCAATATCTCTGTAAATAGTCTTTAAATTTCTTCCAGTCTTCTTCCACCGACTCTTCTCCCTGGTCTCGGATTCTGCCAGTCATTTCCGCCAATTCCATGTAGTCCATCACCTTCATCCAATAGATCCTTATATCTTATAAGGCATAAGGGCTTTCTGTATAAGGTTGCCATGGAATGAAAGCAAAGAAGCAGTGCTGTTTTTATTTGTTTATCTATGGATATTATTTATTTCATAACACACACACACACACATACTGCTTGAGTGTGAAAAAAAGAAAGAACCTCACAGCGGTTTACAAAGAAATATCCACAACTACTTCAAAAAGCAGAAGAGAGTGAGCCCAGACACAGGCTGAATGTACTTCCTCAGACATTGCACATGCGCCACCAGTGTGTCTCTGTCAAAAGAGACAAATAATATCCAGGTATAGCCAAGGGCAGGGCAGGAGAACATCCCAACTGAAAATAGAGCGTCTAATAGGGTTGCCATATTTCAAAAAATGAAAATCCGGACACAAAAGTTGTTGAGCCCCCCCCCCCCACTTTTTTCCAAATCTCCCCAAACATTAATTGATGTTTTTGAGCTATTTTTAAGGAAATCCATCAAAGCCCGGAAATGTCCGGGAAATCCTAGGCATATGGCAGCCATAACCTACCATTGAATCACAGGAAAAGCTGGATATAGGGGACTACATATCGAAAGCAATGTTATTTATTTGTTGAATTTAAAAGATGTTTCACTTGCTCTTGAAGAAACATTTTCCACAAAGGGTCTTACAAAACACACATCAGAACACAACACAAAGATATTAAGAGAGCAAAACTGACCTCTTAATATCAATGGAGCCTCATCAATGTGAGTAGCAGTTTCCAAAATTACATGTAAGAGATCTGAGATGTTTCCAAGCTGTTTTAACAGTGAGCCGGTATATCTGTCTACCAGTGTACCAAATAGGACTCAGTTTATCCTTTTGCATTTACAGTATGCCACCGATTATAAAGCCATAGTAAGAAACGCAACTATCGGAAACGTTACCATTGAAAAGGTAAGCAATTGTTTTGTGTTAATTTCACCCTCTTCATACAAGATTTAGATTAGAATTAAATCTTCCTAAAGTCTTTATAACATACATAATAACATAAGAGTGGCTGGGGCAACCCAGCCAGATGGGTGGGGTATAAATTATTATTATTATTATTATTATTATTATTATTATTATTATTATTATTATAAATCCTAGGCATGCTTACAAACGTAAATAACACTGAATTCAATGGGATTTGTTGCTAGGTCCAATGTATGTAAGATTGAAGGTCAGGGCATGTTCAGAAGTAGCAGTGAAGAAAAAGCTCCTAGGCTACCTCTAGGCTCGAAATGGTAAAAGAAAACTATTTCGACAAATGTGTTAATTTTATTTGTACCAATGTGTGTGGTGGTTTCCCTTATTATATGTATGAAGCTCTGGATGTGAATTCACAAGCTGCGTAGCGGTTTCCCTCAAACAGCTGCCCTCCAGATGTTTTAGAGTTTAGTTCCCAACATCCCTAATTATTGACCATGGTGGTGGGAGTTGTAGACCAAAGCACTGGAAAGGCACAAAAGCTGTGAAAGGCTGCTGTATAACAATGAACTTGCATACCTCTGTAATGATACATAGAATATTAAATTGAAATATTGTTTTTTTGTTTGTTAACAGTATATTACTGATTATAAGGCAGTAGTGATAAATGGAACGTCAGTTGTTGGAAATGCTTCGATTGAAAAGGTAAGCAATCATTTTGTTTTCACCTCTCATGTTTTAAGGTTTCGCATAGATCTTAACATGTGAATGTAAATGCTTCCTTCAGAGTTGGACTTTTGGCTTCAAAATGTGTGTGATTTTTTTAAAAATTAAAGCACTCTCAGAGAACATTGTCTTTTAATCCTTTGTCAAACACAAGGGCAACCTCTATGCAGTGACCTGAGGCCATTTTTGCAGCCCTAGAGAGGGATAGGCAAATCAGCCTGTTTCTTCATTTGTGTCACTTAAAGGGGGGAAAAGCACATTTTCGCCCATTACTAGGGTTTGCTGATTGTGGAGAAGCAACCAGTGTGCTGGAGTCCCAGATCTTCTAGGAAATCATAAAACGGCATGATGCTCCATATTTAGAGTCTAAAACTATATAAAACACATTTGTTAAAAGTTCAGTTGCTAAGGTTGTGCCATATTGGCCAGTTACATCAAAGCCATTGCCCTCTCTGTTTTGTGTCTCATAATGTCTGCTAAGCCCCCTTGGTCTGGTGGTGTTGCTGCTAAATGCCAGGTCTTTTGAGAACAAAACATCTGTTATCCATTATTTGTTTGCGGATGAGAGCGCTGACTTGGCATGCATAACTGAAACCTGGGCGAATTGACTGGGTGGCCCTGTTCTCAGGTGCTTGATGCAGCACCAGCCCAGTTTACGTCACTCATCCATAAACATTGCATATCCTTTCCCTGGAGACCTATATGCACTGTGTTTGGGTGTGATGCCTTGTTTGTGGTGTTGGGCCAATGAACAGGGATGTTGTTAGTTTGTGGTGTTGGGCCAATGAACAGGGATGTTGTTAGTGTACCATTCATCCCAATGCGCAACAAACTCCCAAACTAAGCTGCTGGTGGTAGTCTTGGATGTGGTGTTGGAGAATCCTTTCATGGTAGTTTGGGGGGACTTCAGTATCCATGCTGAGGCTGCCTCAGATGGGCCAGCTTGGGACTTGATGCGTCTTAGTATGGTGTCCAAATACAATCAGAGTACAGTGGTACCTCGGTTTAAGAACAGCCCTGTTTACAAACTATTTCATTTAAGAACTCTGCAAAACCAGAAGTAGTGTCCCAGTTAGCGAACTTTACCTCGGTCTACGAACGGAAGCTGAACGGTGGAAGGGCACCGGTGGCGGGAGGCCTCATTAGGGAAAGTGCTCCTCGGTTTAAGAACGGCTTCGGTTTAAGAACGGACTTCCGGAATGGATTAAGTTCGTACACCGAGGTACCACTGTAATAGGACTGTTTACATTCCAGTTCAGATGGCATGTGTGAAAACTCTTAAGCTACAAAGGGCAGGAGCCAATATGTGCTGTACTGGGTTTATATGATATTTGAAACCCCCACACACTGAAACCATTTATCTCTTTTTGTTTTCTCTTGTAAGATTTTAATGTGGCTTTTGGACGCTTAATAATGTGGAATCCTTTTCTCATGTTTTGATCTCCTGGTGCTCTGGTATAATGGAGTCCTGTATACATTGGAAACAGAGCATGATACGCCTTAGGCTGTCCCTGAAATCTGGCTAGCTGTTGCTGACTTTGAACCGTTTTCCTTTCTATTTCTTGAATGTTTCATTTTGTTTCTTATTTTAAATAGTTTGATTTATTTTTTTTTGACAATCAGAACACCTCTAAGATATGAACAAAATATTTCTAAATAATCTCTGATTTGGCAGGTTATTGCCCCATGCATAGTTCTGTGTGTGTGTGTGTGTGTGTGTGTGTGTGTGTTTCCATGGGTTCTAGCATAGTGCCACATCAGCACTTGTTATGTGAACTGAGACCTCCAGGTACAGCATGGTATATAAATTCAAATAATAATAATAATAATAATAATAATAATAATAATAATAATAATAAGGTCAATGTCTATTCAAAAATAAGTTCCTGAAGAGGTATGCTAAGGATTCTAATAGGTGCAATCCAGCATTAGCCTGAAATGGTTTGTAATGGGGAAATATTCTATTTGATATTGAGTTGCCACTTTAGCAGAGCTGGATTCTTGGGACACATGGAAAATTGGAACATCTCAATTGAATATCATGTTTTACACACATACATACCCACACATCCTGCCCTGATGTACAATGAACAATATAACATTTCACAAGCATGCCTGTGTTTTATTCTTGCTTTTGATTACGTACCTTGATTATGTAAGTTTTGTTCAGACAACATATGCACCAATCAAACATATGGGGGCAATTTGGGGTTGTGCCTGCAGTATCCCCCAATACATGCGCAGTCACCCTAACCTCTGCACAGAGTTTACATGTGTGCAATATGTACACTTGCAGACTCCATTCAGACATTATGTCTAATGCATGTGCAGGGGCAGTGCACACAATCAGAGTCGCTCAGTGTGCCTTTGGTCAATGCACATATGACACCGTCTTTCACAAAAATTAACCAGATATAGAAGTAATTCTCAACCTATTGGTCTGTATAGTCAGTCTATAGAGAAGAATTTCAAGATGTCAACTATTTGATAGCAATGGTCACTGCTGAACGGAGTAGGCTGTGACCTGGTGCGCTGAGTGGGAAGGGGTTGATCCTGTGACAAAGCACTAGCCCTTAAATTTTGAGATTGGGAACGATGGAGGCTCTACTGTCTTTATTCTGAGCTCTCCTGGAAACAATATTTTCTGTTCAAGGTTTTACATTTGTGTCTAGAGACTGGCTGTTTCTAGTTGTCCCCTGGTGTTTCTACAATATTTTGCATGTATCTTCTATCCATTCTGTGACCTGCCATAGTTCATATCAAAAGAGGGGGAAAGGGAAAACTGACCTAAAGATTTAATTTCATACAATTGGAGTTTAGCACTAATATATTTAATGTTACAACTATGCATTATTTCACAGTTCCCAGTTGGCACGGATATTGAAGGAATGAATATCTTGGGGTTGGTCCTCTTTTCTCTGGTTTTGGGAGTTGCCTTAAAAAAGCTTGGCACTGAAGGAGAAGAACTCATCCGTTTCTTTAATTCTTTCAATGAAGCAACCATGGTCTTAGTATCTTGGATTATGTGGTGAGTGTTCTTTGGGACGATCCTCTCTGGTGATTTTGTGTGTTAGCATCAGCAAAAGCAGCACAAATCAGCTAAATACAGTGGTACCTCGGGTTACATACGCTTCAGGTTACATACGCTTCAGGTTACACACTCCGCTAACCCAGAAATAGTGCTTCAGGTTAAGAACAGAAATTGGGGTCTGGTGGCGCAGCAGCAGCAGGAGGCCCCATTAGCTGAAGTGGTGCTTCAGGTTAAGAACAGTTTCAGGTTAAGAACGGACCTCCGGAACGAATTAAGTACTTAACCTGAGGTACCACTGTATAGGCACAGGCCAACTTGGAGATTGCCCTGATCCAACAGGCTCTTCTTATGTTCTTATGAGATGGGTCTGGATTTATCATAACAGTATCGCATATCTTCTTTCTGTGCCCATGCAAATAAAATTTTTAGGGATTTCCTTTGGTGTTCCAGTACTGGGGAAATGGCAAAACTACATGTATACGTACCCAGCATGACTAAGCTGCTTCTAGCGAACCAGAGGAGCGCACGGAAACGGCATTTACCTTCCCGCTGGAGTGGTACCTATTTATCTACTTGCACTTTGATGTGCTTTCGAACTGCTAGGTTGGCAGGAGCTGAGACCGAGCAACGGGTGCTCACCCCGTCGTAGGGATTCGAACCACTGACCTTCTGATCGGCAAGTCCTAGGCTCTGTGGTTTAACCCACAGCGCCACCCGCGTCCCAACTCCAACAAAGATTAAAAATACAATAAAACACCAGTCATTAAAAACTTCCCTAAACAGGGCTGCCTTCAGATGTCGTCTAAACGTCTGATAGTTGTTTATCTCTTTGACATCTGACGGGAGGGCATTCCATAGGGTGGGCGCCACTACGGAAAAGCCCTCTGCCTGGTTCCCTGTAACTTGGCTTCTCACAGTGAGGCAACTGCCAGAAGGCCCTCAGCACTGGATCTCAGTGTCTGGGCAGAACGATGGAGGTGGAGACGCTCCTTCAGGTATGCTGGGCCGAGGCCATTTAGGGCTTTAAAGGTCAGCACCAACACTAGGGGCGATTTTCTGGAGGACAGAATGTTAAAGAGGAAAGGAAGGTCTTAGGGAAGGTGGGATGTTCAGAAGGTGCAAGTTGGAGCTGGTTTGTTAAGGAAAAAATAGGGGTTTGGAATAGGGTGGAGAAGGGATGTGGGTGATAGGGTACTCTGCCTTGAAGGTTTCTGTACCAAAAAAAAATAATAAAACATTTCTCCACTAATTACACCACATTGGCTCACAGTCTGTTCTGAAAACTATTTGTTTCTTTCACTGTCTTACAAATAAAATCTGTTAAGTGGTTATCCCTAGTCTCCCACATAAAACCCATGCCTGAAGGGAGCAAGCATCCTCCTTGAAACAAGGTGTTCACAGTGAGGCAGTAAACTTGGATGTTGTGCAAGCTCACCCCTTATCGAGCAGCAGTGGCGTAGCGTGGGTTGTCAGCACCCGAGTGCGAGCGCGCCCCCCCCCATGTTGCGCCTGGTGCGGCCGGCACCCTTGGCACCCCCCACGCTACGCCACTGTTCCAACGTTCAGCTTCACTGGATGCCCACGAGTTATATTGTACGGAGAGAGGGATAAAAACTTTCCTCTCTGTCCACTCTCTCCTTGCCATGCCTAGTTTTGCAGGCTTCTCTCCTGTCGCCTCTTGCTTGCCTTTTCTCTAAACTAAAAACAAACCCAATGCTGCCGCCTTTCCTCAGGGCACCGGCTCCATCCCCTTGCTTAGATTCCCTCTACCAAAGCTGAAAGCAGCCTGAAGTTCCTCCTGATCGTGAATGGGAAACAGCTGGCGAAGCCGGCGGCCTGCCAGGGAAGGGATCTCTTCCTAACTCCTGCTCCACGGAGCCCGTTCCTTGCAAGCGCTCCCTGTCCCTCGGATGGCGAGCGCCTTTGGAAACGCGGAGCAGGCGCTTGCCGGCGAGCAGCCCCCCCCCCCGCTCCTTCCCAAGCTAATCCTTTTAAAACCGAAAGCCCCTTAACCCGCTGGCGAGGGGCTTAGCCGGGCCTCACCCGCCCACCGGCTTCCTCTCGGAGGTTTTTGGGGAGCGCAGGGCGCGGCGAGGCCCCTCGGAGCTCTCCTCCCTCCCAGTTGGCAGAAACAGCCGCCGCCTGGGGCTGGGCCGAGGGGATGGCGGCGCGTCGGGGTGCGGAGGCTGCCTGTGCCCGGCCAGGCGTCGGTGGCGGCGTCAGCGCTGCTGCAGCGGCTGCTCCTCCTGCGAGCAGTGAGTGGAGCGCAGCCGCAGCGGCGGCGGGGGGTGCGCGTGCGCTGGGGCGCAAGGCTGGCGGTGGCGGCGGGGAGCCCGGCGGAGGAAGGAACTTGTCCCTTCCCTCTGGACTCGCGCCCCCCCCAGATGTTGTGCCCGGTGCGGCCGGCACCCCTGGCACCCCCCACGCTACGCCACTGTTGAGCAGTCATTTTCAGAATATTTGACTGCAGGTGGCAACGTTCAGGTATTGGTTCATAAAATCTTCCTGGGTGAAAAGGGAAAGTGGAAGCCAGACTTCACACATAATCACTGCTTTACTTGAAATTCATCATTTTAGAGGGTGTATGCCTGCATCTTCTTAAGAAGCTTTTCTCAGCAGTTAATAGCCTCCAATGTTGGGCTTGGTCCGTAAGCAATGGAACGAATCTCATAGAACATATGACCTTAGAAACCAGACCTTTATGTTAGTACTTGCCTTTAGGGATTTGTATTAGAGCAGCTTAAGGTTTTTACTTCCAAGGATAATTAGGGATGGATGAGCTCATTAAAGTTTGGCCCACCCAAGTTTTCAGCGTAAACTCTGGGGGCAGCCATGGTTTCTTCCCATACAGTTCCCCCTGAGAGTAACAGAACATTGTCAGATCCCATCACTCCCAGAAGGACTTGCTGTATACGAATTCAACAAACAATACAAAGGCTAGTGATATAATTGCAAAATGCAAAGTCACACAAAAATATATCAGAAAGGGCACCTGCTCCACAATAAGGAGCCTTCCTTAGGCTAACTAATAGAAGGCCAGAGAGCCTCTTTCTGTAGTAGTAGTAGTAGTAATAATAATAATAATAATAATAATAATAATAATAATAATAATTAATAATAATTTATTTATACACCGCCTATCTGGCTGGGTTTTCCCAGCCACTCTTGGTGGTCCCAACAGAATAATAATAATAATAATAATGCCATAAAACATCAAACATTAAAATAAAAAATAAAGAAACCCAAACCCGAACAGCAAAATGCCAATTGTGTCATATGATACTTAGATTTGAAAGTGGCCAAAGTGAGTGTGCGGCTTTTGAAGGGCTAAAAGACCTGAAGGCCTGGCTGCTTGCCCCTGTGTAGACCTGTATTATCACTTATATCATAATAATATAATAATAATAATTTATTATTTTTACCCGCTCATCTGGCTCGGTTTCCCCAGCCACACTGGGCGGCTTCCAACAAAATATTAAAATACAATAGTAAGTCAAACATTAAAAACTTCCCTAAACAGGGCTGCCTTCTGACTTATAAAAGTCAGATAGTTGTTTCTTTCCTTGACATCTGATGGGAGAGCGTTTCACAGGGCGGGCGCCACCACCAAGAAGGCCTTTTGGAGAGATGCATATAGGGACAGATTTGCCCAGTTTTCTAAACTATTGATTGTATACTGTTAAGATTTCGCTGTTCAGCTTGATAGTTAAGCCCATTTGTGGGAAGAAACGCTGATTTTACCAGAACATCATTGACTCACAAGTTGATGTACACAGAGGTGATTGTAAAGAAAAAGACTACTTCTGTGGTTTATTTATTTGCTTGTTTACACTACTTAATGTGGAGCAGTTGCCCTCGGTGATATATTCTTGTGTGACATTGTATATGAATTCAAAGCATGCAGAGACAAGGAGCCCTGGGTCTTAGACAGTCCAAGTTACAGATGCCCTACTTTTGGGAGTTTAAATTCAAAACATTTTTATGGACCTTCTTGCAAAGCAATCCACTGGACTGTGGATTCTGAAGTGGAAGATTAATGTTTTCTGGGCCATGATCTGCCCAGATCAAATCAGGTGAGTTTGCTCTGGAATCTGAGTAGGATTCCTCCCCCAATTCCTAAATATAATCCCTTTGTAATATTAAAGCAATTGATAGGTGGCATTGTCATTTTGTCATTACTAAGCCAACACTCCAAGTTAATCAGTCATCAAATAATCCTCCACTTTGTAGATTATGGGCATACATTTTAACTTGACCCTGGAATGAACAGAAATTCTCAGGGCTGCTTTTCTCCTTTTCTGGAATTTATTATCTCCCTCTTTGAAATCCTAATTAGCAAATTGAAGAAAAGCCACCCTGCTATAGATTAAAAGATCAAACAGTTAAGTTTTAAGTGGGATTCAAAACATCAACTTCATTAGGTTTCATGCTCAAATCATATTTAGAAAAAAATAATGTTGCTTTTATGCGTAGTGAAACCATTGGTTTTTCTTACTCAGAATTGTCTATATGTCTGGCAACCACTCTCCAGGGATTCAGACAGGAATATTTCCTGGCCATACCAAGAAATGCAAGAGAGTGAGCCTGGGACCTTTTGTAAGCTTGGATCAATTTGTTCTGCTCCTATGTATTTAGGAGGCCCACACACTTATTTAAACAGCAGCATTAATATGATGTCCCTTGCCCAGTAGATGAGAGGAAGAGACAGTGACAGTTTTGCTGTGGGAGCACAGATATTTTACCTGTAGCTCTCAGATCTTCCCCCACCCCATTTGAGCTGGATCAGTGCTGCGGGGCTGACTTAACATAGCATGGAAGCTGACTAATAATGAGGGTGGGCCTTAAATATAAGGGTTTGGGAAATGTAGACAATGCAGAAAGGGTAATATTGTTTGTGGGAGAAAATATGCTCATCAAAGAACAAACCTTAGTCAAGTTTTTAATTAGAATGTTGTTCCAGACTTGGTCTGTATGGCATGGCTATTGCATTCTTGACATGCTTTGGTTTATGGCACTTTAAAGACCTTGTTCCTTACCAATGTTGAATGTTAACTTCCTTGCAGGTATGTACCTATTGGCATTACATTTCTTGTTGGAAGCAAGATAGTGGAAATGGACGACATCATGCTTCTGGTGACGAGCCTTGGGAAATATATATTTGCTTCGATTTTGGGCCACTTCATCCATGGACTGGTCGTTTTACCACTTATTTATTTTGCAATTACACGCAAAAACCCATTCACTTTTCTGCTAGGACTTATAACGCCGTTTGCAACAGCTTTTGCCACTTGTTCCAGGTTGGTTGATGTAAGCTTTTATATGTGAAATGGGAATAGCATTATTCTAATTCAGGGTAATAATTCTAGGTTAATGACCTGCTTAGTCATTTTCATAGCTTTTATTGCAACACAAGAAACCCTCTTATGGGTGTCTTAATTTCTCAAAATGTCACTCAGGCTTTTAGAATGATATTTGGATGTCCCATGTCTATACACCCTAATATAGCTGTCAGAATTTGACAGAGTAATCCTGCCCACCGGATCCACTGGCTGAAGAGATTTAAGATGGAGTGAAGTTTCTCCAGCAGAGCAGGGGTGCCCACCAAAGAGCCCCCTCTCTCCTTGCAGGTGGAAAGCTCTGCAGGTGTATACTTGCTAATGGTAGTAGCCATTAGTTAGGGCCCGAAATAAGGCATTTCAGGAGCAGGCCAGAGGCAGCCTTGGTTCCACTGGATCCAAAGTCTTCCAAGATCCTCCAAGAAGCTCCAAGATCAGGCTCATAAGCTATGCCAGTTTGAGACTGACATAGCCATTTCCTCTTATTAGTTTCAAAGCGGGTGGGGGGCATTTACAATTGGGCGAGGGCTAAAAAGAGAGAGACGTCCCTGTTGCAACCCCATCCTGGGCAGCTGAAGCCAGGAGTTGTAAATGATCTGTTTCTTCACTCCCTTTCCCACTTAGGATGGCTCTCACCAGTTTTAAAGGGCCAGAGAAAATAGCAGCACCTCCCAAATAGTGTGAGATAGCTGAGGTGCAAATTGTCTGCTTTTGGCCACCAAGAGAAATAATGAAATCCAGTGTAATCTAAATTCTTGGACAGTGTCTTGCTTAAACTAGTCATAACAGCTCTGAAACAGAAACAGCAATTTTAAAATGTACCCTAGACCACCCTTTATTTTTCCTCTAATAAGACTTGGATGTATCTTTTGGAAATACAGAAAGTGGAGCTCTTTTACCCTGGAACGGCATGTACCTGGAATGCTGCACAATATGTTTAGGCTGGCAGAGAGATCCAGCTGTTAGAATGTTTATATTAACGGGTTACATACATTGCCAGACCTGATGATGATATCCTTTCTTGGCCACATCTAGCTCTGCAACTCTTCCATCCATGATGAAATGCATCGAGGAGAATAATGGAATAGACAAAAGAATTAGCAGGTTTATTCTGCCAATTGGGGCCACAGTGAACATGGATGGAGCTGCCATTTTTCAGTGTGTCGCTGCTATCTTTATTGCCCAGCTGAACAACCATGAGCTCAATAGCGGACAGATCTTCACCATTCTGTAAGTTGCAATGCAAAGCTGCTTTTTTCCTGATGGCCGAATGCAGCGATAGCTCCACTGTGGATATGCAACAAATGGAGTTATCTAGCTGTAAAGGTGCAAGAGAGAAACAACAGCTTGCTTTCTTGCAGCTTTCTTGGTTGCACCGCTAGTACTATTTAGAACATGTGCCCTTCACAGAGGTGGTGGGTTAAATCCAGGCTTCCCCTTCTGTGGATGAAAGAGCTTTCGTTTGCGGAAGGGACTCAGATCCACGGGAGGAAGCCTTCCACCAGTCCTGCCGGTCGTGTCAACATGCTGTTCTGGAGGGAGGATCCCTCAGATCTTCTTTGCGGGTGGGAGCACAGGAGTCTGCAGGGGGAATAGGCAGAAAATAATGTCCTCTTAAGACGGCACCCCATGGACAGTGTTCCACTTCATGGGTAGTCTGGGTTCAATGTGCTGAAAACATCAGCAACTTTCTCCTCCCAGTGAGAAAACAGTCTATTTTACAATTGTGAATAAGTGCTCAGATGGGCAGAAGGTCTGAGCTCCTGCCAACCTAGCAGTTCGAAAGCACGCCAAAAGTGCAAGTAGATAAATAGGTACCGCTCCGGTGGGAAGGTAAATGGCGTTTTCGTGCGCTGCTCTGGTTTCACCAGAAGCGGCTTAGTCATGCTGGCCACATGACCCCGGAAAAACTCTGCCGGCTCCCTCGGCCTGTAAAGCGAGATGAGCGCCGCAACCCCAGAGTCGTCTGCGACTGGACTTAACTGTCAGGGCTCCTTTACTTTTTTACCTGGAACATGTTGTGCCAGCATGTGGGAAGGAAGAAATATCCCTAGACATAAAAGGAAACCTTTGGCATTTTTATGCCTATGTGCCATTGCAGCACAATATTGTAACCACTATTGATTCCCGTTGACAGTGTCACGGCAACTGCATCCAGCGTGGGAGCTGCTGGAATCCCAGCGGGAGGAGTTCTCACCATAGCTATTATCTTGGAGGCAATTGGACTTCCCACCAATGATATCTCCCTCATATTGGCTGTCGACTGGATTGTGTAAGTACTTGGTGTGTGGTCAGGGCACACATGATTGTGGCATCGTTGCAGGTGGTTGGTGGCATGAATTGAATATGATATTTTGAGGGGAGCATACTGTTGCACACCACTCCAGTCTCCAAGTGGTGGGAGATTCCTGGGGTTCCAGGTGCTTCACCCAAGGTTGTGTTTCCTTTGCAACGAGGTACCGTGGAGACTGTAGTGTCCTTAAGATATATGGTTTATTTACACATATATATAAGCTGAGCCTATGATGGAGGGTGTTATGTACAGTGGTGCCTCGCAAGACGAAATTAATCTGTTCCGCGAGTCTCTTCGTCTTGCGGTTTTTTTGTCTTGCAAAGCACGGCTATTAGCGGCTTAGCAGCTATTAGCGGCTATTAACGGCTTAGCGGCTATTAGCGGCTTAGCGGCTTTAAGAAAAAGGAAACAAACTCGCAAGAACTCGCAAGACATTTCGTCTTGCGAAGCAAGCCCATAGGGAAATTCGTCTTGCGGAACGACTCAAAAAACGGAAAAGCCTTTCGTCTAGCGAGTTTTTCGTCTTGCGAGGCATTCGTCTTGCGGTGCACCACTGTACTGAATTGAATAGGATCCAAACTGCAGCAGTCTGATTGGTCCTAGAACAATAGGATCCAAAATGCAGCAGTCTGATTGGTCCTAGAACAATAGGATTCAGAATGCAGCAGTCTGATTGGTCCTAGAACAATGCAGCAGTATGATTGGTCGGCAGGAGCCACCCAATCCCGCTCCAGATAGAAGTGAATCCACAACCTGATTGGCCTACAGGAGAATTCCAGAATTAGCCAATCACGTGCAGCCCATTGTATAAATAATGTATATAAAGCAGATACTTTGAGGGGACATTCATTCCCTCCTCACCACTATGAGCTGAATAAAGAGCATGAAATCACTTTGCGACTCTGAGTATATTTCAGAGGGGCTCACAGCATTAACATGCCAAGAATGTCCTGCTTCTCCCATAGCCACAGCCTTGAATTCTAGCAGAAATCAGCCATGGCGCTCTCTCTTTCTCTCTCTCCCTCCCTCCCTCCCTCTCTCTCTCTCTCTCTCTCTCTCTCTCTCTCTCTCTCTCTCTGCGTTTCCAATCTGCCACTTTTGCATCCAGCTTCTAGCTCACATCACTCACCTCTCAACTCCAGCCTCTTGTCTTTCTGACTAACAGAACGTTGAGAAAGGGAGGCCCCCACATTTGTCCTTTGGCACAGAGCCATTCCCATATTTAGTGGGCCATTACCAGGCTGGCTTGGCTATTCCAGCAGTTGAATCTGTGCTGGATCCAGGAATTAGCTTGCCTGCCTCCTCCCCACAAACCTCAGCGACTAGGACTTGCCGATCGCATGGTTGGCGGTTCGAATCCCCGCGGCGGGGTGCGCTCCCATCGTTCGGTCCCAGCGCCTGCCAACCTAGCAGTTCGAAAGCACCCCCGGGTACAAGTAGATAAATAGGGACCGCTTCCAGCGGGAAGGTAAACGGCGTTCCGTGTGCTGCGCTGGTTCGCCAGATGCAGCTTGTTACGCTGGCCACGTGACCCGGAAGTGTCTGTGGACAGCGCTGGCTCCCGGCCTCTAGAGTGAGATGAGCGCACAACCCTAGAGTCTGTCAAGACTGGCCCGTACGGGCAGGGGTACCTTTACCTTTATGAATAAAGTACAGAATTCCTAAAAGGCAGGAACCTAAAAAATGAAAGAGAGATGCTGTATACTGTAGGTCAGTTATCAAGGGCCAATCTTGATGATGTTATGGCACAGCTTATCCTTAAACTCTCCAGTTAAAGTGATTAGGGACTCAGCTACATTAGTAAAAAAAATCAACACCAATGCTTTGAATGTGTAACACCAGATGGCGCCAGAGAACAAACAGATTTTCTATGCGATTTTTACATAGGGTTTTTTTGTTTTTTGTTATAACCATTTAATTTCTGACTTATTTATAGCGTGGTTTTCCCCCCCTGTGTGTAGATCCATCCTGGGTTGCAGTCTACAGTAGACAATTTGGGCCCAGATTGACCAACAGTCTGACAAGCTATAAGACAGTTTGTTGTGTTCCTGTGAGGGGAGCTAAAGTTTCTCTCCATAGCAACTTACTTTCCCACAATCCACCCCTCCAGGCACTTTTTGTCTTGGCTGGCAGCACTGGGAATGATTGACTTTTGGCTTATCCACACTTTCCTCCGCTCTTTCCAGGCATGGTCTGCGCTTTAAAGCTCCGTGCGAAAACCCGCTCTTTAAAGCTCAGTTGGAGCAAATAGCAATCCGTGGAAAACCCAAATTGACATTTGCTCCGATTGAACGCTGAAAAGTGGGGAAAGCTCAGACCAAAAAAAGAAAATGCTTGGGACACAAGAGCTTTTAAGCGTGGGCCTGCGCTTGGAAGAGTGGGACAAAAGATAAGTGCGGACAAGCCCTAAGAGAGAAGCATTGTGGAGGGTGGAGCTGTAGGGAGCTTCAGTGTTGGAGCACCCTCTCTGCTTGCAGAAGGTCACAGGCTCAATCCTCAGCATCTCCAGGTAGGACTGAAACCCTGAAGAGCAGGTGCCAATTAGCCCTGACAATACTGGGCTAGATGCACTGTTGGTTTGACTTGTTATAAAGCAGCCTTCCATTTTCCTATGAGATAAGCCACAATTCAGCAGAGTAGCCTCCCCTCCCCTGGAACTGCTGCTGCCCTGTCTGGTTACAGTCAGACCCTTGGACAATATAAATATTGATGCCTCCAGCCAGCTATAGTAACCACTGTTTTTGATTACCTTTAAAGCCCTAAACGGCCTCGGTCCAGTATACCAGAAGGAGCGTCTCCACCCCATCGTTCTGCCCGGACGCTGAGGTCCAGCGCCAAGGGCCTTCTGGCAGTTCCCTCGCTGTGAGAAGCCAAGTTACAGGGAACCAGGCAGAGGGCCTTCTCGGTAGTGGCACCCGCCCTGTGGAACACCCTCCCACCAGATGTCAAAGAGAGGAACAACTACCAGACTTTTAGAAGACATCTGAAGGCAGCCCTGTTTAGGGAAGCTTTTAATGTTTAATAGACTATTGTATTTTAATATTCTGTTGGAAGCCGCCCAGAGTGGCTGGGGAAGCCCAGCCAGATGGGTGGGGTATAAATAATAAATTATTATTATTATTATTATTATTATTATTATTATTATTAGCCTCTGTAGCTGGAGCACCACTCACAAGAGTCTCATGCTCTACTGACTGAGCTATCATCAAGGAGGAGAGCTGTTTCATTCCAGTCACTTGTTTATTCCTACTGGAGGGAATAAGGAGGTCATTGCTCTGGCTGTTCAGGTTTGTCCTTGTTCGTTCTCATGGTGGCTACATTGGCCTGCAGTTGCGACGGAGGAAAACAGAGGAAAGCAGCTCATGTGTGGATCCTTCTCATTCTGCTTCTCTCAGTATTGTCCACACTGAATAATAATAATAATAATAATAATAATAATAATAATAATAATAATAATAATTTTTCTGTACCCCACCCGTCTGGCTGGGTTTCCCCAGCCACTCTGGGCGGCTTCCACAGAGACCAAAAATACACTAAAATGTCACACATTAAAAGCTTCCCTGAACAGGGCTGCCTTAAGATGTCTTCTGAATGTCAGGTAGTTGTTTATCGCTTTGACATCTGGTGGGAGGGCGTTCCACAGGGCGGGCGCCACTACCGAGAAAGACCTCTGCCTGGTTCCCTGTAACTTGGTTTCTCACAGTGAGGGAACCGCCAGAAGGTCCTCGGCGCTGGACCTCAGTGTCCGGGCAGAATGATGGGGGTGGAGACGCTCCTTCAGGTATACTGGGCCGAGGCCGTTTAGGGCTTTAAAGGTCAGCACCAACACTCTGAATTGTGCCCGGAAGCAGCAGCTTTCTTGTGTTTCAGACCAGGTCTCTCTCAGCCTTAACCAGGAGATAACAGGCATTGAATGTGGAACCTTCTGCATGCAAAGCAGATTCTTTGCCTGTAGGCTGTGGCTCTTCTTCAAGGTTTCAAGGCTTGTTGGGCTGCGTGTAAGTAGAACTGGGGGAGCAGTATTCTGCGTGAGGTGGGCTTTGCTTCTGACCCTGAGCCTGCTCACTGAAATTGAGCAAATTCTGAGAAGCTCTCCTCAGTTTCTCATGACGTCTGAACTGTATACATCTGGGGGGGAAATGGTACACTGTAGGCTGACTGAGCAATCTCATCTCCTGTGATGTTTTGTTAACACCGGGTACCCTTTGTGCTCTTTCCCAATTGACCAGGGACCGGACCACTACGGTTGTGAATGTAGAAGGAGATGCCTTTGGAGCAGGTATCCTTCATTATCTTAATCAGAAAGAAGCCAAGGAGAAAGCAGAAGAAAAACTAAACGAAGTCTGCGTAGAAGCCATTCCAAACAGCAAGGCTGAGGGGGAAACGTCACCTCTGGTAATGCACAGAAGCCAAGACATCACATTTGCCGCTCCACCACCTAGCACTAAAGATCTAGAATCTAAAGAGTCAGTCCTATGAATGAGAAGGAGCGGGGAGGCACTCTGAGGACACTGTATGTTGGAGACAACAGCATATTTAACTCGGAGCAGACCCAAGCGGCCGTTTGGATTGAACAGATGCGTCCCTTTTCCATTTTGGTGGTACGGAACACTGTGGTAGCCAGTCACAGACTACGTGTGTGTGCACGCATTTCTGGTGTGTTTTCCCCTTTGAGTGCAGACACTTTTGTGATGAGGTAGTGATGTTTCATAGTTTGCGTGTGTGCAGAATATGCAACGCTCGTGCGCTGATACGAGTGATGCTTTTTGCTGGAGCACTAAAGGCCCACTCTGAGAGGTAGATTTTGACAGCTGGATCGTACTAGGCAAGGTCACCTTGATAGCCTAGCTTGTACGGGGAGACAAATTGAGTTCTCTCCCTTTATTACATCAAGCCTGCCCTGTTGTATTCCGAAAGGCCCCCTCTCTGTGAAGGGATAAGTCTTCTTGATTCTAAGGCCAGAGATTATGGGATTATGTTTCTGCTACCAGTTACTGGATAAATCTTGATGATGCGGAATGGACTTGAACCAATGTATGCCAGACATGCATGCCTAATGGAAACTAGTCCTAGCTATTCTAAAAAGTACATTCTCATTTACCGTATTTTTTGCTCTATAAGACTCACTTTTTCCCTCCTAAAAAGTAAGGGGAAATGTGTGTGCGTCTTATGGAGCGAATTCATGCTGCGCAGCTATCCCAGAAGCCAGAACAGCAAGAGGGATTGCTGCTTTCACTGCGCAGCGATCCCTCTTGCTGTTCTGGCTTCTGAGATTCAGAATATTTTTTTTCTTGTTTTCCTCCTCCAAAAACTTGTGGTCTTGTGGTCTGGTACGTCTTATAGAGTGAAAAATACGGTATATTTCTCTTATCCCCCTCCTGCTAAGCCACACTATCTGTGTATGTTAAACATTGGGATATTTGAAAAGAATCTTTAGCTGCTCCAAATAAGAAATGTCAAGAACCTGTAACTATACAGGAATGGCCACAGTGAGCTTGATGTGACAAGTTCAAAGACTGTTTTACACAAGACACTTAATTTGCCTCTGAGCATCCCTTGGCTCCTTTATTCTAACATCTGGCTATTGTTTAGACAGATGAAAGGCATTTGTAATGTAATTGAACATTCTGGATTATTGGTAAGTGTTAGCATCCATATTACAAACCTGATTGAAGAAAGACTGATTTAAGCTTCCTGTGCAGATAGTCTCATTCTGGTTTCCTTCTTATCACTGGTACCAGTTAACACGCATTATTACTTAAGGCCTTAAACCTCAAGAATGCAGACCAAAGAAAAGAAGCAGTATAGTCATTATTTTCTCTATGACTGTTAAAGTGCTTGTTCTTTGCTTTAGAAGAGCAGTTCTTGACCTCTAATGCACTACTACCAACTATTTCTGCACCATTATCATTAAATGCCCCCTAAGCCATAGGTAAGAATTGGGACATAAAAACAGGACTCCAGACAAGGCAATTTATTCTAATATATAGGCATAGAGAGCTGCTGCAAATGCATCCCTGCTCAGAATACATTTAATACATTATATCGACTGTTTTGGAGGAAGGGAGAACAGAATGAGAGCCTGACTCTACCTTTCCTCCAAACGGGTACAGTGGTACCTCAGTTTTTGAACGTTTCCATTGACAAATGTTTCAGTTTTTGAACGCCGTAAACCCAGAAGTAAATGCTTCCGTTTTCAAACGTGCCTTGGAAATTGAACAGCTTCCACTGAGTGTACAGTGGTACCATCGGGTTAAGTACTTAATTCGTTCCGGAGGTCCATTCTTAACCTGAAACTGTTCTTAACCTGAAGCACCACTTCAGCTAATGGGGCCTCCTGCTGCTGCCGCGCTGCCGGAGCATGATTTCTGTTCTCATCCTGAAGCAAAGTTCTTAACCCGAGGTAGTATTTCTGGGTTAGCGGAGTCTGTAACCTGAAGTGTATGTAACCTGAGGTACCACTGTATATGTTATTTTTCTCAATTTTCTCTATTATGTTTGTAAACTGCCCTTTGCGCCTCGGTTTCTGAACTCGAACAATCTTCCGGAACAGATTACGTTCAAAAACCGAGATACCACTGTATTTTAACACCCAGCTGGGACTTCTGGATTGAGCTTTGAATCCAAGCACTCTCCCACAAAACCCTGGCTTGTGTTTCTTTGTACAAGATGGGGAGCCTTTTAGTGTAGGATAAAATGGGATAAGCTGAGATGAACTCCTCCTTGATACAAGGATAGGAAACTTTTGATTATCTTACTAATAATAATAACGCTGATTTCTTATCTGCCTCTTAGGAGGAATGATCCGGTCTCTATCTGCTGAAATGACCCTTTTTCGGTCAGCACAATTTGGTTTAGTGCAGGCCCTTGAAAAAAGGTTGCACATAAATATTGACCCCCCAAAATCTCCCTTCTCTGTGGGAACACAGCAGTATTTATCATGTGTACCTTTCCAGGTGTACTTCTTCTTACAATGTGTTATGCAAAGAATGCCGTCTTGTTTTGCTGGGTCCTATAGCTAAAGGTCTATGACATGCTGACTGACAAAGGCCCTGCTGTAGTCTTAGTAGCCCAGCCAGTTAAGCCAGCCCTCTTTGCACAAATTGCCAGGTTCTCTTTTGCAAGAAAGATACAATCTGTAAATAATCCCATTGCCTTTCAGTTAGATAATCATTGTCATAAGATTGCATCTATCCCTTGCTTAATTTGTTGAGCACACTTCAGAAAGGATGGGGGTATATTCTCCCTGTCTGTGGTCTTGATTTCAGGGTTCCTGTTGAACAAATGACAGACATACAGACTGAGATAACAGATGATGCAGATAAACTTAGCTTACATTGAAGAGAAAGGCAGTGTACATCTTTTCTTGTTTCTGGCAGCAGCTTATAGCTTTGTTTGGGGTTCATGAGTCAAGTATTTCAGCTTACACATTCAAAGTATATAGGAGAGCTTGCAGGGAAGAAGCAGTCCATTTGGAGAATAAACACCAGCAAACTGCTTTAATTGATCTAGCAAATGTTTAAGCAAGAAATAAAAGAAGTTCAAAAGTTGAAAGTAGCATCTTTCCTAATCAGTAACAACATTTAAGTTCAGCCGCTCTTCAGGAAATACCCCATTTTCTCAACCTGTAATATACAGGAGCTACTTTTGCAAGAACGGCTCAAACAATTTACACTTTGCAGGTGATAAAGGCCAAACTACACAGGATATTCGTGACTGGATCTCCCAACACATTTAATTTTAACTTAACGGGAACTAGGGTCTCGCCTCTCTCCTCTCCCTGAATTGGATCAGGTTGAGGAAGGGGTGGCTAATTATTTTCCTCCTTGCACTGTTTCCCCTGCTTTAACTTGCCCCCACTGCTGCTAACTGGGGGAAGTGTAAGTAAGGGAGGCTGTCGTGCTCACTTCTCTTACCTATGAGAAGCTAGAGGGTGGAATAAGGACAGACTAAATGTAACTACTAGAGGTGTAAGAAACAAAGGCTTACCTAGTCCAGCATCCTGTTTCTCACAGTGGCCAAGCAGATGCCATGGGGAAGCCCACAAGCAGGGCAATAGCCCTTCCCTGATGGGGACCCCCAGCCAACTGGTATTCAGAGGAATACCCCCTCTGGTCCTGGAGGTAGTAGACCACAGTCTTGACTAGCAGCAATTGACAGCCTTACCCTCCATGTTGAAGTGGCTTATTTCAGATGGAGAGTGAGTACCACGTCCAGGGAGAACTAGGCCATAAAGGTAAAGGGCGACTCTGGGGTTGCAGTGATCATCTCGCTTTATTGGCCGAGGGAGCCGGCGTACAGCTTCCGGGTCATGTGGCCAGTGTGACTAAGCCGCTTCTGGCAAACCAGAGCAGCGCACGGAAACGCCGTTTACCTCCCTGCCGGAGTGGTACCTATTTATCTACTTGCACTTTGACGTGCTTTCATACTGCTAGGCTGGCAGAAGCAGGGACCGAGCAGCGGGAGCTCACCCCGTCATGGGGATTCGAACTGCCGACCTTCTGATCAGCAAGCCCAAGGCTTGCCTTGGTTTAGACCACAGCGCCACCCGTGTCCCAAATCCAGAATGAGTACTTGGCCCCAATGACCAGTTGCCCTGAGACTGCAAGAAGTGAGAGGAAGTGCCAGTCAGAGAGGAACAAGGGCCACTGGGACAGTTGCAAGATGTCCATCCCAGCAAAGGAAGATCAGCCTGGCACAAAATTAATGTATGTATTAGTTTATCACTTGCCAGTTTCACCTGGACAGTGCATGAACTCCATACACACTGCCCAGGCTTGTGTCCTGGGGAGACCACTTCAGTGCTGCTAATGCAGTAGTTTGACTTCACCCCTGAAGGCACACTCCATTGTCTCTCAAGACAGATGGATGCCAACAATACTTTCTTCTGCCATTATCAATGATCTCTCTCTCCTTTGCCTTTTCCCTCTGCTCCTCTTCTCATATGTCTCTTATCTATTTACTTGGTACACTTAAGAGCAGGGTCTCACAATTTTTTTATTGATGTGAGACAGAAATATTATTTGTTTGGGGGTGGATGGGAAGGAAATAAATAAAGGGATATACCAAATTTCGTTACAAAAGGAGGTTTTATATTACGGCATTTTGTATTATATAATTATATAATTTCATTTTTTTAAAAACGCTCACATGAGTGAGGCACTTCAAATGTTATTGAAATTATGAAACCAAATGCATCCAAAAATATCACTGCGATGAAGAGAGCTACCTTTAACTTTTTAGTCTCTTAGAAGAATTCCCAAAGACTTTTTCCTCCATGACAGAAAAGCAGCCAAAACGAACCCTGCGATTTGCCTGAATATACAGAAGGATGCTTCCTGCCTTAGTTAATCCCATTTGACAGGAACTCTAGAGGAGATCCTCCTCAATTCACACCTCTGCCTAGTTCCTGTGCAGGATAAATGCTAAGCACCTCATCTTTACAGTGCTTGGTCTATGTGCAGGCGCATACATGTGTGTCCCCTGTTGTCCCTCCTGGAATAAAACATGAAAATGTGGTTCCCTTGCTATGTCTCACCCCGTCGCGGGGATTCAAACCGCCGACCTTCTGATCGGCAAGTCCTAGGCTCTGTGGTTTAACCCACAGCGCCACCCGCGACATACATTAATGAGCCCCAGTTCCATGTTGAGTCTATAGCAGAGGCAGGACTGCTGGGGCACTGCCCCACGAACTTCGGCCTGCTCACCAGCAGCTCCTTACTTGCAGCCGTGGCACAGCCTGTCAGCTTCCTTCTCCTTCTTGGCCTCAGTGGTGCCCTTGTGGAACTCAGTGGGAAAGAGGATAGGGTCAAAGGTAGAATTAGTTGGCTCCACCTCTCATTGGCTCTGGCTGCACCCACTGCCAGACTCTCTGCCTTCGGTACCACCGGTTCCAATGGATACCACCCAGCGCAGCTTAGCCACACAACTCCCTCTAATTCTTTATGGTGCTCACGGTAGCAAACACTGTTGTGCACACAGTAAACACACCCCTTGTCATAGGAGAAGGTGGAAGACTAGTTTTCTAACGTCGCTGCAGGTATCCTCTGTAGCCTGTCATATAAGTGGGGCTACAACAGAAGAAAACCTGTCTCCCATGCCAGATAAAACCTGTCGTTAATGTCTGCAAAGTGTCATGAGATGAAGAAACATTATTGAAATGATACAGGGTATCATAGAAATG